GTGGGGCTCGTCAATACCTTTTCGTGGATATAAAGATCGCCGAAAACGGAGTTGAAACAAAGAAGTTATGGCTGTTTGAAGCTGTAATGGATTTGGGTGAAAAACCGTCGCCAGAAAGTGTGGATCAGAGCCTACGACGTGGCAGTCTGTCAGACTCAAGCCAATGATTTTAGTGTTTTCAACGTATTTAAGCACAAGGTTCTGACTTTTTGGCCATTTTATCAGCCTCCATCACCTCTAGGACCCCATGGGAGAAACCATAGCCTCCACCTTCAAAATTTGAGATTCTCCTCTCTCTTCTCTTCTCTTTTGGATGCTTTTTAAATTATATTGATGAAGTTTAAAGATCAAGAAGGTTCTTTTGGTTGTAAGGATTGATGCTTCAAGTTTGGATACTTCAAAGACACTACATTTCTGGACTATTGTAAGTATAAAGTTTTAATCTTGTTATCTAGTTCTTTAGATCTTGTCATTTGGGTTTCTTTTGGCAATTTTGGTCCATTTTATGGGTGATCTTGGAGTTTAGTGGACTCCAACATCTTTTGATTAGTTTAGAATGCTTCATTGACCTCATGGACTAGGAAAGTTATGATCTTTTGCCTTCCCTTTTAGCCATGCAAGTTATCTTGGTCCTTTAGGTCATTTTTATGTATTAAAGTTTAGATCTTGAAAGCTTGAGATATTTTTATGGATGAATTTAAAAACATTATCCATCTAAGCATCTTGTTGATTCATATATGAAAGTGGGAGACTTGCACTTAATGTCTACATCTTGGTGATTTTGGACCTTCCTAACGGATAAAGTTAGAAACTTTCAATGTTTTAAAAACTGGTTTGAATCGGTCGGTCAAACCGGTTGGACCGGGAACCGGAGAATGGAGCGGTTCAACTAGCACCGGTTTTATGTTTATTTCTGAAGTGGAATGAACCGGCCGGGTTTTACAAAAATCCGGTTGAACTGGTTGAATTAAACTGGTTGAACCGGTTAAATTAAATAAAAACACATTGAAATTAATCATTTTCGTAAAAAACTTTTTTCCACATTTACTTAGATTTCTTTGAATAAAAAAACATAGTAAAGGTTATAAATATTTAATGCGTTTGTATTTATCTAAAACAATACTTTGTTTCTGTAATATACTTTATTTTATTTTGATGTACGCGGATTGATGTAAAACTTACGGTTATATGTTTTTAATGCATTTGGATTGATCTTCAACATGTATTTATGTGTATTTTTAATGTTTAAACTTTTAGATGTCTATGTGTGTATAAAAATAAAAAAAAAAATTGAAAATTATAGAAACCGGTTGATCTGACGGTCAAAACGGTTGAACCAGGAACCGGTTCAACTAAAAAACCAGTTTTTAAAACATTGGAAACTTTATCCATTAAGACCTTAGAAAGGATCAGATATGAGTTTTGGAGCTCTTGAAATCGGAAGAAAACAGATTAAGCTCGTTTGATCTGTTCAGACCAATCCCCACGACGTGGCCTTAGGCTGCCACGGCGTGGCGACTGGGGTATCATCGACTGTTTTGGCATTATGTGTCCACGACGTGGCCAAGGAAGGCAACAATGTAGAGGAATGTTGTTGGCAATTTTTACCTTGGCTTTGATAGTTGACTTTTTGACCGGTTTGACTTTTGGTCAAACTTTGGTAGAGTTAAGTTTTTGATTTAGGGCTGGTCTCGATTTGGTTTTAGGAAGCTTGGGTTCACTGTTTTGATGTTGATGTAGTTGTTAGGATTCTGTTGAGTAGTTCAGGTGAGTCTTCTAATTGTACTTGTGGGTTGAAGGCACCAATGTCGGCCCACTGGATTGTGTTATGTAGAATGCTAGTTATCTTTGTTATAGTTCCTTGGAAGACCCCGGGGGTAGCTCGTGGAACTTGTGTGAAAGATCTTGGGGGTAGCACATGGAAATTGCATGAAATACCATGGGGGTAGCCGATGACACTTGGATGTCAGACAACAGGGGTGGCCCATGGCTTTTTAAGGAAAGACCATGGGGTAGCCCATAGCATCTGGTTGTAAGACCCTGGGGTAGCCCATATCATTTCAGGGAAAAGACCTTGGGGGTAACCCATGTCACTTGTATGTATGGTATGTGGTATTTTAGGGAACCCACTAAGCATTGTGCTTACGATTTTGTGGTTTAAACATTTTTAGGTACTTCCAAATTCAAAAGGAAGAGCCCGACTTGATCGCACTGCATCCCCCAAAGATTTATTCCGCGATTGTTTATGGTTTTACTTTGATGTTTTGAGAATACTTTTACTCTCATCGTCTTTCGGGATAATGAATGAATGGTTTTGACTTATTTAAAATGAAAATTTTACTTGATATTTTTGGAACGTTACAATATACCTGCATTGGAGTGAAGATGTGAAGTAGCCCCGGTGTCCATTACCTATCTGTCATTTTATGGATCATTGAGAGACATAGAATTGAACATTTCTGGAAAGGAAGTTGGCTGGTTTACACCTAAAGAATTTTGCTGAAACCATGCCTGATGTGGAAGAGTGTTGTTGGTTTGATATGTTGTGTACGCCTGATGGGTTGGAGGGAGTTGTTGGGATGAAGCTTGAAGATTGGGTTGTTGTTGTTGCTGCACTTGATTATTGGCCCACAAAGGCTGTTGAGTGACGAAATTGTGCTGCTAAAAAGGTTTTGGCAGCAAGCCTTGTCTTGTTTACAGTGGGTACCATCCGAACCCCCAACCATGAGGATCCTGTAGAGTTTTCCCTGTCAAATTAGACCAACGACCACCACCACGACTGTTGCGACCTCTCACCCTGCTGCCGTTTCAACCACCACAGTGATTAAATCCTCCACGAGTAGTATTTTGGAATAAGTTTTGTTGTTTAGTGACCAAGACAGTAGGCGGTGAAGGAGTGGCTGTTGAAGTAGGCGAGGAATCAAGCTGTTTGATCCAGTGTTCTTGAGCCATAAGAATGGACCGAGTGTCCAAAAAACTCGGAAGGGGCTTGATGTGGCGTTTGATAGTAGCAACACTCTAAAACTTTGGGTTTAACCCATTGATAACATATATATAACACGATTCTTTTCGGGTACAAGAGAGTCGATATTATCAAGCATATCAACAATAGACTTGAGACGAGTACAATATGAAGAAACATTAAAGTCACCTTGAGTAATCGTGCAGAGCACTTTATCGAGTTGGATGAATTTCATGTCTTTGTTAATATGAAACATGTCTTCAAGGTCTTGCCACATGTCTGAGTAGAGCATTGTGTCTTGAGCACTATTTTGAAAATAGTATCGGACCGTCCGGTTGAACCGGGAATAGGCCAGGTTTCCGATTCGCTGAAATCTTGATTTTCCGACCAACTATACCCAGACCAGTTGTTACAAAATAGTTTCCATCAAAAGAAACGGAACAAACATCACCATCTCTTGCATCAGATTCACCTTCTTAGTTATTTCTATGTATCTCTTTATGAATACGAAGAAGAAAGATGTATGTGGACACAAAGAAGAAGAAAAGTTGCACAAAAATAAAATAGAAATATGGTGAGGAAAAAGTGACAACTATTTTTTTTTTTAACAAAACGCTAAACATAGTTTTCATTATATATGATCATATATACATAATTTGTCCCCCAACTTTAGTCATTGTTTTTATTTATCACATACTTGTTATCTTTTACTAACATAAGCTATTTTTTTGTATTTTATATAATTAAAATTAATAATAACTTGACTAAAAAATGATCTGGTTTTTCCGGTTATTTGAGACTGGTCGGACCAGTTGAACCATCAAGCCAGTTGGATGGTCAGTTCGGTCTCCGGTCCGGTTTTCAAAACCTTGGTCTTGAGGACCATCTGAAGTAATGATTTAGATATAGTACAAAACATCGAAATTTGTATAATAAAATCAATCCTCTCCCTTTCGTCTATGACAACAATAGCTTTTTCAGTTGGGGCATTTAGATGATCAGTCACTCCAAAACCGGTGCAGTGAGTCTGAAAAAGTTTTCTCCATGCATCATAGTTAAGTTTTTCTAGATCAAGAATGATATGTATTGAGGCTTTGATATTAGATATGCCATAAGGTTTCTCCCAAGTGACACTGGGATTGGGTGTTGATGATTGCACCATGGTTCAATAAACGAGAAGAGAGAAGAAGAGAAGAAGAGAAGAGAGATCAACAAAAGTCAGAATATGAGAAGGGTTTTGCGCCAGAAAGGAAGAAGCGGCGTCAAGGGTGAGAAAAATCAGGACTGCTCTGACATCATGTAAACTTTATTATTTCCCATGAAAATAACCCTTCTCATTAAATCACTATATATAACATATTACAAAGACATGGGTCGATTACAAAGAATACGGGCCTAACAAACTACAATATAACAAATATTCATTAACAATTAAAGGTGCGATTATGTTGTTTAATTAACACATCATCTTTCTACACACACAATTCTATCAATTTTTTCTTACAACGCATTGAACTCTACAAAATTCAATAGAATATTACAAAAGCTAATTTGTGGTATTTATTTAAAAAATAGGAAATTTTCATATTCCCATTGAAAAGTTCAATGGTCATAAAACTCCAAATCTATTAATTAACAATGCATCACCTCATAATGATTGAGTTACATCTATTGAATAACAATTAGACTTGTGACTTCATTTAACTCAACCATTAATAAATTCGCCAATGTGGATGCTCGGCCATTAATAAATTCGCCAATGTGGATGCACTTAGATGCGGTGACAACTAAACAATGTTTTTTTTTCTATTATCATACAATGACGACTCTCATTCGACCATTGATTATGAAAATCTGCAAAGAATACGAATGATTAAGGCCTAAGTCGTACTCACATAAATCCATCCATATGATCCACAATAGATTAAAAATGACAAGTTGTATAAAACTATATCATTTGTGATATTGAATTTGTGCGCAAAGAAAATATATGAAGATAAAAAATTTACAAAACTCCTTTTCGAAGGAAGAATAATAAGATGGTTAATAAACTAACATATATTACGTAATTCCCATATATCACGATCACAATACATGTACAAAGGGTCTCTTATTTTATACAACGCGAAATTCCCCTCTAAAAAAATTGAATGGGATGAAATGAAACTAATAAAGCATCAATATAAAACTAATTTCTTTAGACTCTGTTTCTGTGGATGACATCTCAAATCTCATAGGCATAGTAGGGCATCCCGTAGTTGCTGTAGCAGTATTGGTACGGATTAACATTTAGTGACGCCACCGCGGGATTTGATTCTTTTGCGGCGGCTGGTTTCTTCTCCTCCACCGGACCAACACTCAGTAGCTCTGTGTATCCTACACCTTTCCTTAGCAAGGTCGTCAGTTCAACTGAGTCAACGTCTTCCCCGGTTACAGCGATTTGGGTTTTATCTGAACCAACGAAAGATGCCGATTCCACACCTGTTCATCAATTTTCAGATCATGATTTAGTCAAGTAATTCAATCAGTTCCAATTGAGGTTAACAATAATCAGGTATAAAACACACAATTCCAATTGACATTAACATTTAGGTTACGAAATTGAAATTAAGCGATTTCTCTGGAACGGAGAATCCAGTGAAAGTTGGGAAGATGAAAATCAATCACGAAACATGATCTTACCGGAGAGACTAACGGCGATTTTCAGAGCCTTACGAATTTTCTTCTCGGTGTTCATTGTCACCTTCACCACAATCTTTTGCTGCAAAAGCAATCATTTACACAAATTGAGATTAACTGATTCGAAAATATGCAAAACAGAATTGAATTGAATGACTAAAAAGCTATGTACCTTTGCCATTTCTGTGAACTAGATGATGATTTGCGTAATGAGTATCTGTTTTGGATCTAGTAAATCGGAGAATAAAAGGATTTAGAGGAGATGTGTGGAGAGTGAAAGTTCTGTGAGCGGTTTTATAGAGTGTTCGTGGAATTCACAGAGGAGGAAGACGACAAGGTCAACGCCGTGGGAAGGAAGCTTCGCATTATTTTATTTTACAAATAATTTGATAACTTTCTGGATCTCTGTCACCAACTTCTGGGATTGTAAGGGCTGAAGACACGTCAGGTTGTAGAGCATATCTCATAATTTCATTATTTCATATGAATGCCTCTTCCTTTTTCAAACTTTTGTTTACATGCCTTTTATTTACATAAAGGTTTCAAATTACCCTTTTTGATTTTTTACACGATTATTATTCAAATATAATAGTCATAATCACATAAAAGCTTTTAAATTTCGTATAAATGTTTTTTTTTTTTTTTTTGGTTTAATAAACTGAAACTTCATGAAAATAATTCAAAATTTACATTTTTATGTATTTTTGATTCATTAAACCCATAAATTTAACAAAAGTGTTCCATTTTAGCTTTCTTTTTTCTGATTATTAAAGACAATAAGTACTTTACGTGATTAGCCCAGTATAATAAGAGTGACATACAAATGAATAAAGGTAACAAAAGGGTTAGACATAGAGATTTTCCTTACATGTGAATTTCATTGTTATATTATTATTTATTAACGAAAATAATAATTAATAACACGACAACTCAGTATGCATAGAAACATAACAACTAATAGACTAATAGACTAATACGAAACAAGAATAAATTAAAAACATTTTTGGTCTTAAGCAAATTAATATTGTGGGCCACACAAACCATATTTACGAAAATGTTTCTAGTATCCGATATTGACTTACCGGGTCCAAGGTTTAAATCATGTCATGGATGATATTTAGAATCATATTGTGATTTTTTTTTAAAGTAAACCATATTTTAGATTGTTTAACAATATAAAAAATCGTTGTATACCTTAAAATTAAATTTCGTGCAACTTTCGACCATTCGACCGTTTTGGTTTCAACTAAAAAATTGATTTGACATAATAAGATGTAACACAACACGGAAAAGTCTGTTTTACTCAATATCTTATTATTCTATTATATATCTTTATCCTAGACACTCTACCATCAAATAAATCAAGCATAAACTTGTAAGTAAATTTATTAATACAGCAAAACATGAAACAAGAAATAGGAATAAATTTAAGTAATATAAATCCTCACCAAATGACCAAATCTGTCACATACGAAGTATTAAAAATCCCATATTCGCAAGCAGAATTCCTCAATAAAAGAAAGAGAAACGAGATGAAATGAAGCTAATTCAGAAGACTTTGAGAGCAACGATTCGTTTCAACTGATAAAATCTCACTTCTCTCATACATAGTATGGCATGTAATAGCTATTACAGCAATACTGGTAAGGATGAAACTGAAATGTGACCTCGTTGGGCTTGGATTCTTTGTCTTCTTTCTTCTCCTCCACAGGACCAACACTCACTAGTTCTGTATGTCCAACTCCTTTCCTTAGCAAAATCGTCAGTTTGACCGAGTCAATACCTTCTCCAATCACCGCTATTTGGTCTTTATCTGAGCCGATGAACGACGCTGAATCAACCCCTGTTTATCAGTTTTCAGACCATGATTCAGTTTAAATTCAACGAATCAAAGCAGAGTAATCCAGTTTCTATCTATTTTGAATCAGGAATCGATATTCCTCCTATTTAAATTAACATTTAAGTTACGAAAGTGAAATTCGTCAATGATTTTCTGTCGACTTGAAAAATGTTAGTAGAAGTAGAAAAGGAAAGTCATGAGAGAGAAATTATGACAGATGATCTTACCGGAGACACCAACGGCGATCTTCAGAGCCTTACGAATTTGCTTTTCACAGCAAATGGATACCTTCACAACGATCTTTTGCTGCAAAAACAACCATTTACAAGTATTTTCAACTTATTCAAATACATGCAAAACATAATCGAATTGAATGAATTAATAGATCCGTACCTTCGACATTTCAGTGAATTCGATGGTGATTTGAAGTGTGTATGTGTTTTTCCTTGCCTCTCTAGCTCCCACTTTATCTTTTGAAAGACAAGACAAGACGAATAGAAGGTAATTGAAGTGTCGGATATATATAGAGTCGTCCATGGAGTTCAGAGGTAATTACGTGAAGACGATGACAGGCAATTACGTGAAGACGATGACGTCAGCGCAATGGGAAAATGAAGTTTTACTTTAATATCCAATAACAAAATATTTAGTTTATAGAAATTAAAATATTTAAATTAATTACTAATTTTCATATTTATATATATTAAAGTATAATGTCAGTTAGATTTAAACTAAATATTGTGTTATTATATGCATAAATGTGGGCCAATCAAAATTTAAAATAAAAATAAATAATTAAATAAATAAATAAGGGTAAATAGGTAATTTGATAATTAGTTTCCACAAATAATAGCCTATAATTATGGTAACCATTGACTTAGCTACCTAGGTATTTTCATCCCTTTTAGTTAGTAATTTAGTTTAAAACCCTACAATCAACCTCGTCTCCAGTCTATAAACAACCGATCCTTAGCTGTAGACCCAACACAATCAATTGTTGTAAAGAAACGACGTCTCCGGCATCAAGCTGACTTTCATAATCAAGCAGCTCTCGGCTGCTTCTCTCCCAGTTCCGGCATAGTGTGTGAAGGGAAGACGCTGACTGTAAGGGAAACGAAGGAACATGGAATGTCGACGGAGCTTCTGTGATAGTTTAGAAATCGCGAGGAGGTGCGGAAGGAAGAAGTAGACCTGGCAATTCGGGTATTCGTGTCATGAAAACGTGTCAGCCACGAATTTGACACGATACGATTACACGATGAGAAATAAGCTTTATATCAATTTTTAAGATGTATTCGTGTCGTGTATTCGTGTCGTGTGGTGTCTCTCACAGATTCGTGTCTTCGTGTTTGAAATTGCCAGGTCTAGGAAGAAGCACCGGGACAACACCGATCCACGAGGCGTTCGATTGTTATCTTTGACAGGAAGAAGAAAGGTTCGTCTCTAGCCGGAAGACACATAAAGCGAAACCGATTTTATTCATAAGCAAAAATTGGAACTGTTCATCAAAATTGAAATCGGAATATCATACTTCAAAGTCGGAATTGATTGGAATTGAATGTCACAATCTCGCAATCGATTGGGGCTGTTCATGAGATTGCAATCGGATTTGAAGCCTCTATGTTGAAATCGAATGAGAAAGGTGGGTCGAAATCTAAGCTATGCTGTGTAAACCTTACACCCTAAACCTAAATCATGAAATGTTTTACTTCTATATGAGATTAATTATAGCGGGGTTTTAATTTTTCAGTGAGCAGCTTGATACATGGAATATATTAGCAAAGGCAAGAAATGAAGGACGCCTATTTGCCAATATCAGATGGCCTAGAGACCCCGACATTGTATGTTGATTTTGACCTTTATATAGTTTTATAAAAAAGTTCAATTTCATTGACAACATAATTTAACCTCTTCTTACAGAACGAGCAGATGAAGCGGTTGCACTTACTTTTAAAAATGAAGGATTCTGCTGCTAATGTCCCCAAGAATCTTGAAGCAAG